AAAAAAAAAAAAAAATAGAATTACTTTTAAAAATATTTTTTAAAAGGCAATATAGAGCAGACTATAACAGTTCTGCTGGTCTGGAGTTTAGTTTGGGCAGAGAGTTCTGAAATATTACAATGGTTAAGCTTTATTGAGAGAGCTATATGCTAGGTCCTTTCCTACTACATTTAATCCTCCTAGGTTCCCAATGATACTGGTTTTGCTATTATCACCCCTATTTTACAAATGAGAAAATTAAGGTGGAAGTAAGTTAACCAGTTTGCCTACTGTTGTATAATTGGAATCTATGGCTGTCACTCTTAACTACCTTGCTATACAACCTCTAGCCATACATAATTGTCCTCACATAGCGTTGAACTCATCTAAATTAATTTAAAGCCAAACCATTGGGGCCACTTATACTTGCTTTTCTGTCTTACTTTTCTCTGGGCCTCCTTCACCAGTGTCTGAACCAATCCCTAAGGGTCATGACCTTCCAAGTTTTGCTTGGAACCTCCTAATACAATCCACTTTATATACACTCCAAATGTATTTTTTTTTTTTTGGTCTTTTTTTTGGGGAGTCATAGCTCAGAGCAACCTCAAACTCCTGGGGTCAAGTGATTCTCTTGCCTCAGCCTCCCAAGTAGCTGGGACTACAAGCGCCCGCCACAACACCCAGCTATTTTTGTTTTTAAGAGACGGGGGTTTTGCTCTGGCTCAGGTTGGTCTGGAACCTGTGAACTCAAGCAATCCACCTGCCTCGGCCTCCCAGAGTTCTAGGATTTACAGGTGTGGTGAGCCACCGCGCGCGGCCAACCATACGTATTGGTTATAGCCTTGCTTACAAGCTGCCTTGAGTTGCTTTTTTTAGCTATTTAATGTATACTTATTTTGTCCCCTCAATTAGACTGCAAACACCTAGAGGGCAAGGATAGCATCTTTCTTTTTCTGTAACCCTCACAGTGCTAGGACTAGGCTGGAACTCCAGGTGAGCTCATTAAAAGTTGTTGACAGCCTCTCGACCATCTTCCTTCCCACTTTGGCCACGCCCCCTTTCCTCTGTGGCCACTGCACCTCCTCCTCTGGGTCCCCGCCCCTTCCCGCGCCCTTCAGTTTTTATCCCCTCGGGCCTAGCCCTTCCCTCGTAGAGTCCATCCTCCCTCCCACCCCCACCCTCCCGCAGCATCTTCAGCGTCCCCTAGCGACCAGGCGGCGGCTCCTAGCAACCGCATCCCGGTTCCCTGACGACGGCGGCACGTAGAGACACGTCAGCGCGTTGTGGCCCCGCCCCCAGCGCCCGCTGGCCCCGCCTCCCCGCGCTTCGTCCGCCGCCGCTGCTGCCGCCACCGCTGCCGCCGCCGCCGCCGCCCGAGACTCGTGCAGAGCAGTTATGGCGGATCCCGCAGCCCCCGCGCCCTCAGCTCTCTCTCCCGCCCAGACCCCGGCCCCAACTCCGGAGGCGGCCTCTGCCCCAGCCACATCCCCCGTCTCGGCCCCGGCGCCGGCACCCGCCCCGGAGTTGTCCTCCGGGCCGTCCTCGGACTCCGGCCCCGAAGCCGGCTCTCAGCGCCTGCTGTTCTCACACGACCTGGTGTCCGGCCGTTACCGCGGCTCGGTGCACTTCGGGCTGGTGCGCCTCATCCACGGCGAGGACTCGGACTCGGAGGGCGAGGAGGAGGGCCGCGGCAGCTCGGGCTGCTCCGAGGCCGGGGGCGCGGGCCACGAGGAGGGCCGAGCCAGCCCTCTGCGCCGCGGCTACGTGCGCGTCCAGTGGTACCCGGAGGGCGTCAAGCAGCATGTGAAGGAGACCAAGGTGAGGCGGGCATGGGGCGGAGCAGGCCCCAGGGGGCCCCGGCTGCACTGTGAGGGAGGATGGGGTCGGCGACCAGAGCCCTTCGCCGAGGAGGGGCGGTGTGCGGGGTACTGCCTGAAGCGGAGCCACTGCAGTGGCCGAGGTGGGAGGACAGCCTCAGCAGAGGGTACGCTCCATGCAAAGTCATTGCACCAGCACTGAGCGCAGCCGGGCACTGCTGACCCAGGACCTGGCCCTGGGCTTCCCGACTTGAGGGGACTTCTGAGCCATGCTATGCTGTGGTGTTGGCCTCAAGAGTGAAGACGTGAACCGACTCCCGTAGGGACCTCCTCAGGCTTTGAGGCGCGTTGGGTATTACACCAGTGCGGCGTTGTGCTGACCCCCAAGAGCTCGGTGCTGCATTGTGCATCCAGAACGCAAGGCCCAGGCCGGTTCGTGCAGGGAGGGGTTGTGGGCATTCCAAAACAAAGATAGAGGTGAAAATCCTAGCCCATGTAAAACCCCAATAAGTTCACTAGATTAGCCAATGCATGTGGTGAAGCAACTCAGTGTCTTTTTGTTTTACCTTGCTGCCTCATTTTAATTGCTGTGGGGAACTTTGTGAGTAAATCATTGACAATCAAAGTCATGGTATTGATAGTACTGGGGTAAATTCTGACAGCTGCAGTTGGGATTGATGACTGTTAAGTGCATTTGGACTTCTTGAAAAAAAGAACTATGGATAGAGTCAGCAAGTTGGAAACCTGAAGGGTTTTTCTTGACCTGTTTTGAGGTGGTGCTGGTGATTGTAGCAGTTTTGCAGAACAAAGAGGTTTACCATCATAAACCTGAAACCTTTAACCAGGGTTGGTTTGACGTTTGTTTTCCTGAGTCTGAGTTCATATCAGTGATTCACACGCACATCCCTGTATCTCACACCTCTTTTTCCTCCCTTTCAAGAAAACATTTCTAAGCAGGAATCAGGCCTTCACTGTTTTAGGTCCCTGGGAGGCTGAGAGGTCTGATTTCAGGGGAATGCACTTTAGAAGTTAATCTGGGTTTCTCACACAGGGAACAAAGGCAACAGAGGAGTAGGCTTTGTGCCATACCATAGAGGGGTCTGTGGTGACAGCCTGGGCAGGAAAAACAACCCACTCCTGAGAAGAAGAGCCTGTGATCCACTTCCTAGTGGCAGAAGTGACTGCCAATACCAGCAGGGTCTTTTTCTCACTAATGCACATGCACCCACAGACAGCCTCAGATAGGACCCACCTTTCCCTCAGAGAAACATAGATCAGACAGCTGCTCTCTGACTTGGAATGAAAATTGTAAGTTCATTTGCAAAAATATTTGGAAAATATTGCTTTTAACAGAAATGATTGTTTAAAATCATCACCAATATTGTGTTAGGAAAAAATGGTATTGCTCTATATACTGTGTGACATCAGAAGGTTGCTGGTGTCGTTGAGTTTTAAAAAATGTTTTCACCTCCCATCTTTTCTAGAGGTTTGTGACTTTAGGAATGCAGCTATTGGATGTCCTGTGTATCATGGCCTCCTGCCCTGGGACTCGGGGCAGACCCAGCTGACTACTGGGAGCTGCCCATGTTTATCAGTTGTTGTTCCTGTCTATCTTGACTTTGGTGGTTAACTTTGTTTACAGTTAGGTTCCATCTGCCTTCCCCACCAAGTGTAATTATACGAAGTTGGAC